AGTCCCCATGTACCCAAAGGCACACATTTTAAGTGACACGTGGTAAGTCACACAAAAGCGCTAACATCTGAATAGACGAGCTGCCTACAGAAACCGGCAGGTATGCATGGATGTAAAATGAGCTCTGTTTCATATCTGCACCTCAGAAGGATTTTTACAATGACTTTCAGTTTAATTATATCAGCTGATGTAAACCATTGACACCAACGAAGGAAGAAGAAGAGGGACTAGTTCACCAGTTACCGGAGTCATGAGATAATTAGTAAATGGGTTGTCATTTCTCCAAGTAGTAAAATGTAAAATCCAGTGAACATGTAACATATTCAGTTAATCATTCAGTGAACAGTAAATATAGAGGAATTGGGGTTGAGAGTTTTCTTAATCCCAAGTTATTTGTTTCCTGCCCACAGAGTTGATGTGAGTGAACTATTTTGATTATGAAAGATTAATTCTTAATTCCCTAATAAAGATGTTGAATTAAAAAATTGAAAAACTGGTGTAACTTGAAGACCTGAGATTTGTTCCAAAGAGATAAAGTAACAAAATAAGAAAATTAGTGAGGTTCAGAAATCTAAACGTATTCTTATAAAGAGAGAGAGAACAAAAAACTCAGAAAAAGGATATTATACAAAAGGAAGAAAAGAGGAAAATAAAAATAATCCTGAAAGAGATGTCCATTCACCCCACAATGGACAGAACTGTTGAGATCGAACTGTGCAAAAGACCCAGAATAAACATACTTGGTCGAGGGCTAGAGTGTGTGAGGAAGCACTCTGCACATGTGACACCCAAGGGACAAAATCCCAGAGGAAACACTTCCCAGGGCATATCTCTTGGAGAGTGAGGTGTTGGGATGGGACATCCTTCAACTCTGACCCCCCGACCCCATGCTCTTGCCACATTACTGTGTTCAATAAATGGCGACGCCTCGCATGACTGCAAAAGACTAAGTAAAACACACTCTACAGTCTCAATCAACTCAAAGTTGGCAGCACACCATGGAAATTATTTAGATGGAAAGAACTTCCACCAAGTGAGGTTTATGGTAAACATCTACCTAGTTGTTAGCAATATTTAAATGGCAATATTTAAATGTGATGTTCTGCCATCTTTTCTTGTGTTATGGTACAGAAGAGCTGGGGAGCAACTTCACAAGGCTCAAAAGTTGGCAAAAATAAAGTCAGATCAGGAGACAGCGAGTGTGATTTTTTTTTGGCAACATGAAGTAGACTAACTGCTGTGGGGTATGAAGGCAGGATGGCCCGAGTCGCTTATCCAATGAGGGCTCTCCACAATCCTAGGATTACAGAAAATGTTATGGATTTAGGATATAAAATGGCATTATGTTGACATCATTTTTTTTTACTTTATTCAACATAATTCGTTACGATATAACCTTTAACACAAATGAAGGGAAGATTTCCACAAATACATTTTGGCTGAAATTTCACTGGTTACTTCCTCTTCGGGATAAACTACTTTTGCTGACAAGAAATGAACAAGTTTCCAATTATATCTTTAGTACTATGATGTTTAGGCTACTTTGAATGGACAGACATCTTAAGAGATGATGTTCAGAATTTCATACCAAATAATGAGCAAGAATGATTACAAAAATGATTTCAAAGATACTGTTTTAACTTGTGGGTTTTCTACATGATATTCCTAGAATAGCTTGTATAAATTATATTCCTGAACATAAATGATTGTTTCTGATTTGCTGAGGCTATCAGATTGCCTCATTTGGCAGGCTTACTTTAAATAAGATGTCTATATGCTCAACAAATTTTTGAAGTCCTCATGATAAAAATGCAAATTTTTATTTTTAATTTCAAACCTGCAAAGAATACTTTGTCTTGTTTCATTTTAATAAGGATTGAAATCAAGGATTCATTTTTATGGAAAGCTAAAGTTTAGTAGTTTAGTATTATTAGTCTAGTAAAATTAAAGGCAAAGATAAGCTAAAATACATGAATATTTTACCATCCATGTAAACACTGCCCTTTGAATATAAGACAACAGTGCACGAGTGTAAATTCATTTCCTGTTCTCAGCCTACCCCTGTTGTCCTCATACGTGTCTGAGCAAACTACATTACAAAAGAAATGTAAGAGGCAACCTCACAAAGTGCTCATAATGAGAAGGCAAGTAGCTGGTCAGAATGACTGCTGATAAAAAAGGCTTTCATCTAAAAACTGCATGGTCATATTCTTTATGGCTCTTTTCTTAGACATTAAAGAAAGCACATGTGATCCTATTTAGTAAAGTACATTTTTTGTGAACACACCTACTTTGGTGTAAAAGAGGTTTCTTGCTATTTTTTATTTTAATGTTACAGAGGTATAGAAACTGAAAACCTTGGCGTTTAAACAATGATCTGGTTTGTATCATCAAGTAGATCATCATTTCCTGGCCATCCTTTTATAAAGAACAGGGGTCGCCTCATCAGATTTCTTTTAGAATTTACAAAAATAACTAAATGTACAGTGATTTTCCCGAACAGGAAAATGTACATTATGATCATTTAAAAACGAAACACATGTTTAGCAAAAGGAAAACTGCTACCTCAATAGTTATTTAAGCATCCTGATTAAAAGCAAGTAATTAGTGTCAATTTTTAGCTTCTTTTAATTACGTAAGGGATGTGCTTTTCCACTCAGAAGATGAGAGTGTTTCCATTCCTGATGACAAATGAGGCAAGCTTTGCCTACACCGCTGGGGGCCTGGGAGCAAAATGGCCAGGTATGGTTTACTTTATAGATTTAATATGACATTAATTATAAAATTGATCATGCCTATTAAATCAGAACCATGATGGAATTTTTAAGAAAATTATTTGAGCCTAAGTTAACATTAAAAACAACAAGATTGAAAAAAAAATTTCAGATGTGGTCAAATTTCAATGTGAAATAAGGACAGATGTAAACAACACTGCTGCCATTTTCCTGCTTATTTTTCAGCCAAGTCACATTTTACCCAAAGCCTAATTCTGAGCAGCGTAAGCTGGCTAAAGCAGAAAAAATAAATGGTTATTTAGAAACTAATTTATTCTAATGCCTATCTGGAGAGCATGTACACACACCGTCATTTTCTTGCTGAAATGATAGATCCGTTGTTTTTATATGTAGCAACACACATAGCTGCCAACTGTCTCAGAATCCCCAAAACAAGGCTTCTCAATGGAAACACTAGGTTCTTGAGAAGTAGAGCAATGGGCCTTACAGTATAGGCAGCATTAATATCCTTGCTAATCCAAACTGTGACTGTAGTCCTTAAAATTAACAAAAAAGACTAGCCTGGAAAAAATTATTTGTTGGATATTTAAAATTTCCTTTCTATGATGATGTGAATGAGGCTTAGTAAGAGCAAAAGAAGATGGATTGATATATTTTTTTCATAGCTGAAGTAAACGTATCAGCTAATCTATACTTACAGCAAATATTGGTATTTACTCATAAAGCCAACTTTCCATTATTCTGAAGCATATCCTTGTTCCAATTTGGCCTTGAAATTACTGATACTCTCTCTAACATGTGGACTGGTGGAGTCAATCAAGAGTGAGGAGATATGGTTCAAAATTGGGAGCTGCCTGATTTTTAATAACAAACTGAAAATCCAGAACTTAGGCTGCATCAGAGTCCTCACTTATTCAAACTCGATGTTGAGGCTACTTGAAATCACCGCTATGTATCAACGGGGGAGTAATCTTTAGACCTTTATTATCCAAATCACACCCTAGCCTGTTAGACCTCTGCTCCCTTTCGAGTGTGTGTGCTCACCTTATTTATCACAAGGCAGAGTTACGGGGCACTGACATGCTAAAATACCATACTCTGGGCTCATGGCTCATCTAAACAATCTGAAAAACTGAGCACACTTCTTCATAAAGCACCCGGTGGTCTTCCGTCGCCATCACAATGTCTGATTGCCAGGGCCTGCCTGCTCTTGCTATCACGGTCCTGTCTGTCCTTATCATCAATATCGAATCAGAGCTGTCACATTCCCACCGCAATCAACCTAGCCGTGACTTCTGCACCACCCAGGTCTAGTATTTTCTTCCCCGTAAGGATCCGTCCCCACCCCTACCTCACAAATCATGAGAAATGATTCACCTGCAGTCTGTCCCATCATTATTTTGCACTGGAAGATGCAATTAACGAAACATGCAGCATGGACCCCTATACAAGACACAAGTCATCTTTTGACTGAATTGTGATGCGTTCCATCCTTATCCAATATTAGTTTCTGTGGTTTGACCAAAACACTGAATGGGCACTGGTATTTCTCTACTAACTAAAAGGAAAAGATTCATGTCATCACCGAGCTCCTCAGAGGGGATACTCTGCAGGACCTCCGAGCATTTTTGCTGGTCACAGTCTGTACGAGAGGACCCACTTAGAGAATGTGGTCCCCAAACTGCAATGGTCAGCATCTCAATGCGAAAGGAACTATTATTTTAAATGAAGGGAGATGTTCTGTATGGAAACGCCTCCTCTCCCAGCCCTTGGACTCTGGCTACAGACTCCAGGCCACACCCAAGGTGATGGAACCTTGCGGACTGGTCAGGGAGGATGCATGATTTCCCACCTCAGCCTAAGGCGCTCGAAGTCACTAAGTAGGGGTGTCCAGGAGAAGGCTGGCCCCACGAGGAAAGGACATCTCTCAGAGACTCACATGTCCAGAGCCTATTCCCACCTTATTGCCATCCTTCCCAACCCAAGCAAATCGAGTCAGTGGCAGAACAACGTCAAAGGAAATACGAAGAGGACTGGAAAGAGTCTCCAAACTAGCAGCCAGAGCTATGTGGATGGCCATCACCAGCACATCCTAACGCAGGGGCCCTGCTCCTGGAGGGCAGTCCCCAGGGCGAAGCAGGCCTGAGAGGCACTTCTGTCCTGGTTTCCGAGACCCAAGTGCACCCTATTTGTACGAGGAAGGGCGCGTTGCGCTCTCTTCCCGCCACGGGAACACTTTGATGCAGCCTCTGGGGTGATACTTACTCAAATATGGTGGTTTGTAAGGCGCTCGTGTATTAGACAGCAGTCCGTCCAGCTCCTTCCTCTCCAGGGTGCTGTGCAGGGCCTTCTCTTTGCCAAAGGTGGAGAAGGACCGCTCCGCCCCGGGCTGGGCTTCCGGAGCCTCGAACACCTCTGCGTCGGGGACTGAGTCCATGCCGGGCACGTGCAGGTTGCTGCGGTAGTCGGCGGCCTGGCGCCCGTCTGCCGGGACGAAGGAAGGCATCCAGCACCGATCCGAGTGGCCCAGCGCCTTACATTCCTCGGTGCAGTTGGAGAAGAGGTCCATGCCTGCGGGCGAGACACGAGACCCAGAGGTGGGCTTCAGGCACAGCGCGCTCAAGTCACAGGGCCAGGGGCAGAGGCGGGGAAGGCGTCGCAACTGCCTTCACCCTCTTAACCCGGCAGGTCCAAAAGTCTCTCTGCATGGTTTGGGAATTGGTAAGACTCTTGGCCCAAAGACCCCTCAGATAGACGTTTCTAAGCCACTCGGGGTACCTGGAGGGAAAACATTGGCTGTAAAGTTATTTAAATAGTTAGGAAACAGTGAGCAGACAGAGAATGAGAATTTTTAAAGGAATCTCTGACAACATGGCTAACAGAACGCACCCAAGGGCAAAGTCTTGATCAGCCACAATCAATACTGATGATGCCCCTGATCATTTCTTAACCCTTCGACAGCCAAACACTGACCAGGAGGCTGACATGGTGAGCTCTGGACATGCACCTGACCCGGGCAGGGGAAGACAGACTGGCCGCGCCGGACACGCCCGCGAGGGACAGGCCGATGCAGGCTCTCGGGGCTTCTGGAAAGGATTCCCATCTCCCAGGGACACTCTGCGGCCCATCCTACTGCGGGCCGCCGCCAGAAGGGAACCAGCGACGGTCATTAGTGAATCCAACAAGGAAAAGGAGGGCGGGCGAGCGCAGAGGTGCTCTTGACAAACACCTCATCCTGGTTCCCGCCTGGAAAGCCCGGCCTGCTCCACAGCGCTCCTTGCTTCCTCGTCCTGGAAGAGCTGGCGTGCGAGTGAGGACTTCAGGTTTCACTGTCTCACAGATGGACAAGGCTATTAAATCTTATCTGATGACGACTCAAGGAAGCTCATTCAGTTGCTGAAGCAAAGTATAGCAATTTTCAAGCACTAGGGACTACTGTTTGATATTCGTTTTGATAATTAGCACTATACAGAAAAACAAGAACGTGAGCCAAAATCGCATTTTAATGTCTTTCTAAAAATAGTAACTTATTTATTGAACCTGTTTTAAAACAGGATCAATCTGAAGTACACAAAGCGGGATTAGTCTGCATGAAAGAAACTCTCAAATGTGAGTCTAGGCTGCAAAAATGACAGATCTTTCTTGACCAACAGAATAATATTTATTTAATGACCATACTTGGTTGTTCCTTCTACAAATATCAAGTGTGATTTCAGCTCTTGAGCACGTTCTAGTTTTAATTGCTGGTGGTGTTCTGACATAGACTGATCTACGAGCTTGTGTGTATGTCAACATCTGTCTATACAAAATAAAGGTGATAATTTTTCCAAATTACTGATCCTCTGGCTTACCCACAAGTACTCTGGATTTCTGAATAGATCCCTCCATAAATTATGTTCAACAAAATAATACCAAGCTTCTTATCACATATTAATCTCACCTTATAATGACTTTGTATTTTAAATGGAACTATGTATAATGCCAAGTCTGACTTCTATTATAACATTCCATTGATAATTGTCATGCATAAGTCTGGAAATAAATTACTGATCAGTGAACTGTTGAGGAGTTTAGACGTGAGCTGAAGCTGGGATGAAGGAACCATCCTAAGCGCCGCGTGTCAGACATGTCAGTGTTTCTCTAGACACCAGACAAGTTCAGTTCTTTATCCTGTCTCTGCAAGGAGATACGTAGGAAGAAACAGAGAAAGGAAGGCAATGGCCCCGGGACACATTGACAGACTGGGTCACTTGATCGCCAGCCATCCTTGTTGTCAATATGAGGACTTAGCAGTCGTATGCCCTCCATGGATAGGGGGGTAGGAGCCACAGGGTCACAACGCACCACCAATGCTCCCTATGAAAGAGTGATGGGGAAAAGACTTTTTTGACAGCTGAAACTCCCTTTAGGGTAAAGCCATTTTAAGCAATTATTTATTTTAAAAATAAATTCAAGTTATGTTAACTTGGAAATGGATGGAATTAATTCAAATAATAAGCTAGGAGTGTATTACCAGAGCCTAATAAATATAGATACTAAGGCAGAGCTTGGAATTAAAACAATTTTTCTACACGTGACTGAAAAATGATCACTTAAAATATCCCACAGGGGACCATCGACAACCTTTCACATCTTTTTGGGTGCTGGTACCCAAGGACTGGTGATTCTGAAGATGATAAGCTCACACACATAAATGTCAATTCACTATGTTGATGCTGACACCAACTTTCCTGCTTAGCTGCTGGTTGATAAGTGAGAAGGTGCTTTTGGTCCAATTTGGTTTCATGGGTAAATTCTACTCAGTGTGCTCATTTTTTTTTTTCTCTTGATAGCTATGGTCTTCTGCCTCTTTTAATTACTAGAGGCAGGATACACACTCCTTTGATGATGTAGCAAAGTTCTCACGAGTTGAGAACCTGCCAAAATAGTAGATAGTGTGCACTAGAAAAGTGAGGCGTAGGATAGCGGTTCTTTGCGTTGACTGGAACAACGTTAGTTGACAGAACGGGAAAAACACACTAGTGAATAATTTTCTTCATTTAGAGCTGCTCCCCTTGCACAGCTCTCTAGGCCAGAATAAAGACAAGGTGCCCTACTCCATAAGAGTCTGCCCCCCCCTTTATCAGACTCCCCCAGAGGACCCCCCAGAGTCTGATAAACAGGGTCTCTCTTCCTCATGAGGTAAATTCCAAGGAAACAAAATTGATTTAAAGCTACAAATAATACATCGATACCCTTATAATTAGGACTAAAGCCGCTCACTGAAAATGGGGTTTGCCTTCATTTGTCTTTTAGAGACATAGTTTGAGAACCAAGTAAATGTTTCTCACGGGTCCTCACCTTATGGTGCCAGGGAAAGATCAACACTATTTAACCCTTTTGCACTTATCAGTTGTCCCACACATAGAGTATTTGTATGACCACATAAGCAGAGGTATGTTTAAGTTTGCTTGGCCAGGAATGAGTGCACGGAGCACTGGAAAGCGGGATGTTATATACGAGAGACACATGAAATGCAATTCCTTCCTGTGGCTCTTGGGGTTTTTGCTTGCCCAAACTGAGTTCCAAGTGAAAGCAAATTTAGCTCCCCCCACCCCCCACCGCCCCCGCCCCATTTAAATGACTTTACAGTAGAAGGCATAACAATTGTGCAGCAGAAAAAAATGCAGGCCAAACCCCCCTTGGAAATTCTGGTAGTTTCTAAAAAAACTTTTTCAACATATATATTTTACTTGCAATCTCTTTTTCTAGTTATTTATTTTTTTCACTTCTCAGCAATAATCTGTTCTGTAAGGCATGACAGCTGATGTGATAGACTGCCTGTTATGCAGAGATATATTTAGACAAATTTTAAAATCCATCTTTTTTAAGTGGCAAGTAACTTGTCCCTTGGAGTCAGAAGCAGAGATATTACCACTGAGAACAAATTGTGATTTCAAAAATATACTTCTGGTCAATTTGTGCTGTTTTCTGGTGACTATAGTAAGAGAAAATTATGTGTCTTTTTCTTCCTCCTAACAGCAAGTCCTCACAAAATGTTTTTTTTTTTTTAATATGATATATTAATGTAAAAGAAAATTCACACTCAGTTCTTTGAGAAAATTTCTAATCTTGCTTTAACTGATTATAATGGAAAAACCAAGCAATATTAACTATAACCCAAAAAAAAAAAGCTACAATTTTTAGGAAAAGATGCTTTAGGGGTGGAGATCTAGCATCACAATTTATAAAAAATTCAAAACATGGACATGGAAATTTTCTGCCTGTGGGTCAACTTTTGAAATGTTTAGACTTTTCTTCATTTTATCTTAACATTTTTTTTTGCCTTATATAGTTTTTCCAGTTACACATCCACATTTTCTAGTTGTAGCTCAGATTTTGACCAGAAACCTGAATAAGTTTTGCAAACCATGACAGAAATTTATTTTATTTCTAAAGTCAGAAGCTAATTTGCCAGCATCTAAATTGTCACTGGAGTTAAGAAAAGGAAATTTGCATCTTGTTGATATTGTGGTAGTGATGTAATGGCTTAATATAGTTCACAGTGTTAGCTTGAAAATACTGGCAGTAAAAATCACTTTTAATTCAATTTTTAACCATGTAGCATGTATAAATCTCATAATAATAAGTGAAGACATAACCATATTTAAATGCTAAGTTCTCTTATAACTGAAAGAAAAAATTACAGTTAGAAGAATTTGGCTTTTTTCAAGTAAACTATAACAAGCAACATTAACTGAATCACATGTTAGGTTTCTCCTCGTCAATATATGTTTTCAAGAGGCAGTTATTAAAAGTAAATTTATCATCAACCCTAGTATGAGGATGCACATTATTAGTATTCAATAAATGGAGAAAAGTAACTCCTTCCAACTACATAGAGCTCCCAAAATATACTTTCAGTAACATTAACATGTTCAAGCATATAGAACTAAAAATGCTGTATCAGTATTCTAAATTAGAAAACAGAAGTCTGGCTTTTAACGCCACACTAAACAACCCTGAAAACATACTCCCTTTAAGTCTACTTTGACTGGGGTTTGGCTATTTAAGCTGTGATTAATCAGGTTTTTTTTCCTTCTGTGATGGTTTATGCATGCATTTACCGCATCTCCCTGGACGGCTGCCACATCTGACCCATATATCAATCGTGCCCTGAAGAAACATCCAGCACCTTGACAGCACATGGAGAGACAGTGCCACAGAGCCGTGGCCAGACCCCAAGGCCTCACACATGGAGCCAGGTGCAGTGGGCAGCGGACAAAGCTTGTGTGATTCTGTCTGTGTGCAGCTGCCTGGGTGAGCAGAGCTTTCTATGAACAAGATGGGGGACTGCAAATGTCTGAGAGAGAAGACCCAGGCCGGGGGGGCAGAAAGAACAAAGAAGAAAATCATTCATGGAAGAATAAATTGAAGAAATATCTAAAGACGTGAAATAGAAAGTCACGTTACCATAGACAAGCAAAGTGGGGATGCCGGAAAGTTAGGAAGTTTGCAGAGCTGAGGTCCTCGCCTGCATCGTGTGTGCTGCGTGCAGGACACAAGAGCACAGGAGAAATCAGAGCCTGTGCTTCCAGTCTTGTTCTGCTCTGATAATCTGACTTTCCCGCCTAAAACTGACCCGAGAGGGGCTTACTGTTTAGTGTGGCTTTTTTTTTTTTTTTTTTTTGTTCATATCCCAACCCCGGACATAAATGTGCCATGAACAAAATTTCCTAAACAAGGCAAAAGTGGAAGTCACACCTGGCTTTATGAGGAAATAAAACAGATGCACTTACTGATCTGAAATGGACTTAACTTTGGGGAGACATTTTAGCTCCTTGGAATGAGGTTCATCATACACAGCGCAGTATAGACGAGAAGCAAGTCGTTAAGTAAATGCATTTAGTTCTCTGCCTCTAGAGCTTTCTACTTAAAAACAGAAAACACTTCAAACCATCCTCACTGTGATATCAGACATATTCAATCCGGGGACAGTTCAGCACACAAAGGGGAAGCTACTACTTCTTAGCGCCAGTGTGTGATGGCAACTCGGCAACGGCAATTATGGGGAAGCCAGTGGCCGCCCTGTGACTGCTAAGGAAATGCATGCGCAGAGCAGGGATTCTGCAATAATGTGTACATGCTTAGGCATTCAAAGACAGGATTTTCTTTCTTTTTTTTTTTTGCCATTTTGATAAAGAACAATAAAAACTGCCTTACTTTTAAGAATGTTTCCCAGAACATACCCTGATATGTTAAGTTTCCTTTTAATGCTTTGGCATCTCAACTCCTTTGAAAGCAGCATCATCAAAATGGCAACAGGAGTGCCCGGAGGGCCGAAGCCACTTGGCCCACCCATCGGCGAACCTCCCCTCCGGCTCACAGATTGAGCATTTGGGAGAGGTTGGTTTCTCCGTCTTCCTGAGGCTAATGAGTGTGAGGGTCTGAACTAATTGAAATGTGCATTGAGATCAGAGCGGTTCAGAAAGACACAGGGGGAGCGAGCTGGAGGGAGAAAGCAGCCAGGAGCATAAAGCCCACTCTCTTTGGCCAATATGAAACATTTTGTTTCCAAAGTTTTAAAAGGCTGACTGTTGGCTAAATGAGAACCCGAGAAGAGAATGGGAATGAGCCATTCTCAATGTACAGCTTTTTTTTAAAGACAACAATAAATCATATGCCATATATAGGCCAAAAATGAAAGGGACTTTGTGCTCAAATATAAACTTCTGGCAAGACCTGGTGTGTTGTCAGGTCCCAGACACTAAATAGATGCTCTGTTCAGTTAGCGTGAAGGCCCGCAAGGGGCAGGGACCTCCGGGATTTCTGGCAGCGCTCAAGTCTCATTAGGTCTGCATATTAATGACTTGCAGCAATATAAAGAGACCCTTGAGCAGCCTCTCCCCTCCTGCCTGCCTTTCCCAAGACCAGGGCCGCCTCCGACACAGCAGCACCAGCCAAGGGAGAGGCTCGCGGAGTCTCCGCTGCTAGGCGACCGCGGGGCGTCACCGCCCTTTGACCCACTGCCTCCGTGGCCCTGGGGGGCCTCCGGGTGTGGGGGGTGTGCAGAAGGGGCTCTGGGGGCCCCAGCTTCCCTGAGGAGAAGATTCCCACTCCTTGGGGAGGATGAGGCACAATAAAGCTCAGACTCAAGCAGATGGGGGCGCAAGGTGCTCCCAAGGTGGACATTCTCAGAAGCCACAGAAAATCACTCCTTCCATTTCTTAGGTGTCAGATCAGCACAAAACTCACACCAAAAAGGAAAAAAAGAAGTTCAACCAGCACCTTCACAGGTAAGATGCAAAGGAAGCGGAAGAAAACCCAAAGTTTATGAAAGTATTGCCATTATCTTCAGGTTCATATTTTCTATTTTTAAGGGTTGCCTTTAAGTATTATTAGCAGGTGGCAGTGACTGTCACGATCCTGAGGTACTTGGAGGTTAAAGGCACAGAGAGAAAAGCAAAGAGACAAACAAAATAAAGTGAAAACAAGCAGCCGAGGACCCTCCCGGGCATGAGCCACTGAGCCACGCTCCAGCACGCAGAGGCCAGCTCTTGACAGCACACACAGAAAACGGGGGGATCTAAGATGCTTCAGAAACCGACTTTTGTCACCAGGGACGAATGTCCTGAAGCTGGACCCCAAGAGGATGACTCTCCATGACTTCCACCCTGTTCCTTCCCTCATTCCATCCTGAGGGCAGGCAAAATGCACTGTTCTGAAAAGCAGGGACTTTGGGTGCCAGGCACCATATCTCCCCCTTAGCCTCTGGTGACCTTTGGCTGGTCAACCAGTTTCATTCATCTTCAGTGACCTCTTCCATAAACAAGGCTCATAATCCCTTGCTTGATGGAAGATGGACCTGACCAGATGGCGCTCTAGGGGGGCTTGAATGCAACTGGAGGCCATTAAAACAACATAAAGACAGGGTTCATCTCATCTCGGAGCGTGCTCCACAGGGAGTTTCTAAGGACCGTCCCATGGTCACCATCCTCCTGGACCGTGCAGTTACCAACACAGCACAATACACGCTCTCTGCAGAGCCACCGACAATCAGCTGGCAGAGAATGAGCCAGGACATCATCCATTCTAGCTTGATTAAAAAAAAAAAAATCTATAAAAGCCCGGGGCCTTGATGTCACTTACCAGCTGACTGGCCGCGGTTGGTGGCGTCGTGGTCACTGTCACCCTGCTCGCTGTCCCCATGGCCACTGTCTTTAGAGCTTACTATGTCGGCTTCCTGGAATGCAGAACTACAAGTGCAAAGATGCGAATATTAGAATCAAAAAGGTGAAGAAACACAAAAATCATGCTTCTGCCACCACATGGCCGCAGCCGGTGCTGCAGACCCGTCCCTTCAGCTGCCTGCTATTTCTGCACCAAACTAGTTTCCATCACCTCAAGTATAACTCTTGGACACTGAGCCCCAGCAGCTGGATTGAGCTGGTGAAGCAGGTCATGCTTGGGCGTTACCCCCTGATCCAGCCGAGGTCACTGCATGATTTTCATCAAACAGACCATATGTACACACCTGGCTCTGCAGGAAGACACCAGGGGCTGTGTGAGGACACCCTGGAATATACCGAGAAAGCTGCCCACAGATGAAATAGGCCCATTTTTTTTTGGGGGGGTGGTGCATTGTCTACCATACACAGGACCAGGGTGTCTGTCTTTCCCTCACTGGAAATTCCGGCTCCCCTTTATGCTTTAATAGCCAATAATACAGCCAACTCCTACTTTGAGTAGGCAGTAAATCAGCCAGCCACCCGGATAGAGGGGGCAGAAAAAAGAGTCCATACCTGTTCACTCGGCGAGGTCTGTCAACTAGATAGCTGAGCTCTGCTCGCTGGTGTTTAGTCTAGGAAAAAAATAAATAAATCAAGAGCATTTGAGTGCTAAGGGTTTCACTAGCAGTCTGCTTAGCTCCAGGCATGTGTACAGGCTCTCAGGAATTTCCAGTCTGCCTCAGGACCTCAGCCTGGAGATAACCTGCCAGGGCAGGGCCCCATGCAGAAATGCTTCCATCTAGATTTCCAGTAAGGGTAAAATAAAAGCAGAAATGAAAGGCCAATTTTAAATGTGTGTGTGTGTGTGTGTGTGTGTGTGTTTTTTAAAGGGGGAATGCAAATGACTTCCTAGCCAGGACTTCTGTGCTACTCACTACCTCTCTAGTGGAGTCGACCTCTTTACTCTCTGCAGACCTTCTTTCCATGGCCTAAAAAAGTGTTTAGGTGCATACTGGTGCATACTGGTTGACACAAGAAAAAGAGCACGCTGAATAAGCAAAAAGTTTGTATGTTTTATGGAATTATTTTGTTGTTTATTTTCAAAATGTGCTTAAGATACAAATGAGCTGTACAAATATTCATGAAAGTCAATTAATATTATTCTCTAAGACTCAAATAAATAAAAGAACCTGCCAAGAAAGGAGTTCATAAGCACCGCTCCCTCCCCAACTCCTGCTGTCCCCTCCAAATGCCCTCTGCATCCTGCCCCCCTCCCCCCTTGGCCTTGGCCGGTGCAAACTTCCTTTTACACAAATCAGCTCCCCCGCCCCACCCCTTCCAACTTTGCCACTTCTCCATCTTTGCAAAAGAAATCAGAATCTTTCGAATCTCTGATGAAGAAAGCCAACAGCGGCGAGGTACCAAAAGCAGTGGCAAGAGGTGATGATGAGCTAAGAGAGAGAGTGAAGAAGAGTGTCTAAGCCTGTCCTTAGTGTGGGCTCCCAGGGGCTGGCCCAAGGAACTTCCTTCAGGTCCACACTGGGTGGGCGTTGGGCTTCAAGAGCGTCTGTCAATGCTGTCCAGGCCCGAACTGAAGGCTTTTCTGCAACCCGAGTTCAGAGGACAAGAATCTCATTCCCTAAAACATGCATTGGAGTGTAGACGGCTGTGCAAAGTGAAACAATCTACAGCTTACTTTCACGCGCGACGGAGAGCATCATAAACAAAGCAAAACAGGTTGAACTTTATTGACGCCTGGGACACACGCAAAGAGGAGGACCTTTAAGGCCAGTGCCCAAGGGCCCGTGGCCACGGTGCCCTCACCCCTCCCCACCCCAGGCCGGGCACGGCCCTCGCCCCTGGCCCCCCCAGGTTGCTGAGAAGGGCTTCAAGGATGGACAGGAGGTCGGGCTTTTCAAGGAAGAGATGCCAGAGGGAGGAAGCGGATCCCTGGTGGCACAGCACCAAGGGGAGGGCCTGGAAACCACCGAGACCACCGAGTGGAGCGGGAGCGCAGGGGGAATTGGGGCCCAGAGGAGGTTGAGGTTACACACGAAGGGGGAGGGGCGAGGGTGCCCCCAGCCCTCCCTCCCTCCCCCCAGGGATACAAATGAGCTAAGATCCTAAAAACACACAGTGCACCGGGGCCCCGGGCGGCTAGAGGAGGCTCTCGGATGGAGGAGATGAGAGATGGTGGTCCTTGCGCTTCAGCCTTACCTCGTTGGACAAAATGCTCCCGTTGGAGATGATGTCGGGCTGCTGGTCGGCGAAGCCGGTGACGATGGCCCCGCAGGGGTTGTGCTCCGCGTCCGTGCTCCTCGACGGGCTGCAGGGCTTGAGGAACATCAGGTCGGTCTTGGCGGACTCGGGGGTCAGGCAGACCTGGTAGCAGTAATTCTGGTTGTGGTGGTGGGAGCCGAAGCCCCCCGACTCCTCCACGGGCACCTGCGCCGGGTTGCTGGGCGCGTTGGAGCTCTGCACCAGCATGATGTCGGACTTGCTGAGCTTCTTCTTGCGCGCGCGGGCCTGGCGGCCGCAGCAGGCCGGGCCCCCGGCGCCGCAGCAGCAGCACAGGCAGCAGTCGCTGGCCAGGCACGTGTAGATGTTGAGCTTCTTCTCCTTCTGGCAGCGCACGGCCAGCACGATCATGGCCAGCAGGAAGATGAAGGACACGGAGCCCAGCGCGATGATGAGGATGAGGGTGAGGTCCAGCGAGGTCTCCCCGCCGGCGCCCGCGCGGCTGGGGCGCTGGTGCTCCCCGGCGCCCCCGGCCCCGCCCGCGCCCGCGCCCGGGGGCTCCACGGCGCCGTCCGCCAGCTGCACCACCAGGGTGGCCGTGGAGGACAGCGGCGGCTGCCCGTGGTCGCGCACCTCGATCACCAGCTCGTAGGGCCGCTGGGGGTCGCGCTTGGCCGGCACGCGGCGCGCGGTGCGCAGCTCCCCGGTGCGCCAGTCCATGCGGAACAGGCTCATCTCGTTGCCGCGCACGATGCTGTAGGTGAGCCGCGCGTTCTCGCCGTCGTCCGCGTCCACCGCCGCCACGCGGGTCAGCAGGTAGCCCGGCTCGGCCGCGCGGGGCAGCACCTCGCGCGCGGGGGTGCCGTTGCGCCCGGGCAGGGGCGCCACGAGCGCCGGCGCGTTGTCGTTCTGGTCCACGATGAGGATGTTGACCGTGGCGTTGCCGGCCAGCGCCTGGGGGCTGCCGGCGTCGCGGGCCTCCACCTGGAAGCTGAAGTCCTTGAGCTGCTCGTAGTCGAAGGAGCGCAGCGCGTACAGGTAGCCGTTCTCGGAGTTGATGGACACGTAGGTGAACACGCTCATGCCCTGGATCTGGCACTCGAGGATGGAGTAGGCGAGCTGCGCGTTGGCGCCCTCGTCGCGGTCCGTGGCGCTCACGGCGTAGATGTAGGCGCCCGGCACGTTGTTCTCGGTCACGTACACGTCGTACACCGGCTGGCTGAAGCGCGGCGCGTTGTCGTTCACGTCCGACACCTGCACCTGGATGGACTTGCTGGTGGCCAGCGCCGGCTCGCCGCGGTCGCGCGCCACCACGGTCAGGGTGTAGGCGTCGCCCGCCTCGCGGTCCAGGGGCGCCTCGGTCACGATGGTGTAGTAGTTCTTGAAGGAGGACTTGAGGCGGAACGGCACGTCCCCCAGCAGCTCGCACTGCACCTGCCCGTTCTCGTCCGAGTCGCGGTCGGTCACGCTGAACAGGGCCACCACCGTGCCGGGCGCCGCGCCCTCGCTGACCGCCTCCTTCACGGTGCTGAAGCTGATCTCGGGCGCGTTGTCGTTGGCGTCCAGCACCCGCACCAGCACCTTGCAGTGCGCGGGCACGGCGTTGGGGCCCAGGTCCTTGGCCTGCACGTACACCTGGTACACCGGGCTCTCCTCGTAGTCCAGCTCGCCGCTCACCTCCAGCCGGCCGGTGCGCGGGGACAGGCCGAAGAGCTCGCGCGCCCGCGGCGAGATGTGGCTGCTGAAGGAGTAGACCACCTCGCCGTTCTGGCCCTCGTCGGGGTCGGTGGCGTTGAGCTGGATCACCAGCGTGCCGGGCGGCGAGTTCTCGGGCAGCGACACGGTGTAGACCGGCTGGTCGAAGGCCGGCACGTTGTCGTTGGAGTCCAGCACGCGGATGGTGAGCAGGGCCGTGCCGGTGCGCTGCTGCTGCTGCTGCTGCTGCTGCTGCTGCGCGGGGGCAGCCCCCCGCCCGCGCCCTCGCCGCCGGGCCCCCCCGCGCCGCCCCCGTCCACCGCGGTCAGCACGTAGCGGTGCACCGCCTGCTGCTCGCGGTCCAGCGGCTTCTCCAGCACCAGCTCGGCGAAGCGGTTGCCATCGCCCTGGGTCTGCACGTCCAGCGAGAAGTAGCTGTTGGGGGTGATCTCGTAGTCGCGCAGGGAGTTGGTGCCCACGTCCGGGTCGAAGGCGCTCTCCAGCGGGAAGCGGGTGCCCGGCGTGGCGCTCTCCGAGATCTCCACCGTCAGGTCCGGCTCCGGGAACGCGGGGGGGTTGTCGTTGATGTCCAGCACCTCGATCTCCACCCGGAACAGCTCCAGGGGGTTCTCCAGGAAGACCTCCAGGTGCAGGACGCAGGAGGGGCTCTGCTTGCAGATCTGCTCGCGGTCGATCTTCTGGTTCACGTACAGCACCCCGGTCTCCAGGTTGAGGTCCAGGTAAGGGGTCCGCGAATTGGGCACCGTTTGGAAGCGGCGAGCCGAAAGTTTTGTAATGTCCAAGCCCAGATCTTCAGCGATATTCCCCACGAAAGTGCCATGTTCCTGCTCCTCCTGCACCGTGTAGCGAAGCTGGGAAAAGACTCCCTCCACCATCCAGAGCCAGGCAAAGAAGAATAGCACAATCATCTCCAACGGGAAAGGAAGCAGCTTCCCGCAGCCCGCCAGCCACCCGCTCGCCTCCCCCACCGCCACGGGAAAAATAAAAAATTAAAAATGACAAATAAAAGTGCGCGATGTGGGGGCCCCCGCGGCTCGCTGTCCTTAGAAAAATCTCGTTCCTGTCGCCTCCTTTCAGGGCTTCCCCCAATCCAGCCTCATTTTTCAATCCTAGCGCAGGAAGGGTGACAGGCGTACCCTCTCCTCGCCCGCGAGCTTCGCGCTGACCAATTAATAAGCTAATAAGACAGGCGGCGGCGTCCTTTATCCCGGCGGTCTTGGCGCAGCGCGGCGCTGGCAAATCCCAGGGAGGAAATTTCGGGCTTCCGAGCCTGTCCTCGGGCCGTCTGCCTGCCGCCGGGCGGAGGAGGGGGGTGCGGAGCGAGCGCCGAGGCCCGGGCACCGCCGGGCATGCCGCTAGCGCGGGCGGCGGGCGGGCGCGCGGGGGCTCAGGGGCGCGCGGGCCGGCGGCCGGAGCGGCGCAGGGCGGCTCTGCAGCAGCAAACTTTGATTCCCTTCATGGCTCCGGAAGGCTGGGCGCGCTGGCATGTCCCCCCCGCGCGCTAGCGCGGCTCTCGGGCTCCCGCGGCCGCGTCTCGCGCCGTGTCCATCGGCCCCGCCGCTGCCCCCGGGCGCGCGGAGCGGCGCCTTCCCCGCGGCCGCCCGCCTCGGCCTCCGCCTCTCCGGCCCGCCTCTGCCTCTGCCGCTGCCCCCGGCCTGCGCGCCTCGGCCTCGGCCCCGGCGCCGGCGGTCTCGGCTGGCGGTTCTGAGCTCCGAGCGCGCGGCGGCTCTGTTTTTGCGCAGCGCCCGGGTCCTGCCAGCCAGTGGGCGCGCGGCCCCGCCCGCCGGGCCGCGGCTCATAGGCGCGCGGGGCTGCCAGGCAGGCGCGTCACGCGCGCGGGCGGGGCGGGCGCGGGCGGGCGGCCGGGGAGGCGAGTGTGAGCGCGGGGACAGCCCGGCGCGCCCGCGGCGCCGGCTGGGGACTCGGGCGGAAAGTTCCCGGTCCCCAGCCGCAGGGCACCCGGGCGCCGGGGCTTCCCCGCTGGCATCGGCCGGGCGCAAACACGCTCGCGCGCGCCGCTCTCCCGGGAGCGGGGTTTCCAGTGACGCCCACATTCTTTTCCCTTGCAGGTATTTTCCGCGGTGCCGACCGCGGCCGCCTCGCCGAGCGCCGGGAAAAGTTGGAGAGGTGTTGGCAACTCGCGCGCGCCGCGGGGAGGCTTCCCGGCGCGGGCCCCGGCGGGCCGGGCAGGGCGGCGCTCGTGGGGAGAGCTGGGCGCCGCGGGGCGTGGGGAGGGGGGGCCGGCGGAGCCGTGCAGGCCGGGGGCGTCGGGAGGAGCGGGGGATGCTGGAGACGTGCCCCCTCTCGGGCCGGCCTTTCCTGTGGACGGAGATCCGCCCCCCAGGGCTGGATTCGCCGGGGACCCCACGCCGCGGAGCGCTTTGGCCAGTGCCCGTGGAGTTGCGCCCGCGCGCCCGCCTCGGGGCTCGCCGGCCCCGCGCCCGGCTCCGGGGCCGCGGCATCGGCACCTCCGGGCGCTGCCAGGCGCCGGCGGGAGCCCCGCGCCTCCCCGGCCGAGGGCTGCGCTGCGGCGGCGCGCGCGGGCGATTTTCTGCGTCTTCTGACAATTTGAGCCCCCGCGGCCCCCGCGCCCCCCAGGCCAGACCCCGGCGCCGGCCCAGCCCGGGGCCCGCCCGCGGCGGGGGGCGCGCAGCGGCCACGGGTTGGGGCGGGGGGCGGGGTGCGGGGGGCGGCCGTGCCCACGCGGGGCCGAGGGTGCCGCTGCGGGTGTCTGCGGCCGCGCCTGCACGTGCACGGCGCTCGCTCGCCTCCGTGCTCCGGCCCGGCGCCCTGCTCCCCCGAACCCCGCCGGCGAGGGGCGAGGGGCGAGGGGCCCCTCCCGGGGCGCGGGGGGCGAGCGGCCTCGCGCGCCAGGCCGGCGAGAAGTTAAAGCCGGCGCCAACTCTTCCAGGCCAGGGTGGGGGGCACGAGCCCTGGCGCGGCCGGGCGACGCGCGGGTCCCCGTTGGGGAGCCGGGCGGCGGGGGCTGAGCTGTCCACGGAGCCGCCCCTGCCCGGCCTCCTGGCCCCGCGCGGGGGAGGGGAGCCCTCGCGGCCGCCGGGAGCTGGCGGACCCCGGAGTCGCGCGCCCCCGCCCGCGGGCGCGGAGAGGCGAGGCTCGCGGCCGTCGCCTCGGGTGGGAACCCGGAGGGCCAGTGTCTCCGGGCACGGGGAAGACGCGCCCCCGCCCGCCCCAGGAGGGCGCCCCCCCGGCCCGGCTCCATCCCCGAGCGGGTCCGGCTGTGCGCGGGCGGCGGCGGGGATGCCGGGGGTCGGGGCGGGGGCGCCCCCCGAGCTGCTGCAGACCCGGCGCCGCAGTGGAGGGGACGCTGGCGCCGGCGGCGGCTGAGCGGACCTGTGGCTCGGTGGAGAGGGCGCCACGGCGCCCCTGAATACTAATCCGACGTCGCCCCCCCACTTCCCCCGCCCCCCAGCCCCCCGCTTTTCCCCAGGTCTGCGGACCGGGAGGGAAGGGTCCCGCGCTCCGGCCGCCGCGCCAGGACCCCGGGGTCTTCCGAGCGCGCCGGTGGTGCCTAACGCTCCCGGGGCGCGCGTGGGGGCGCGTGTGCGCGCGTGTGCGCGTGTGCGCGCGTGCCGGCCGGCGGCGGGTGACAGTGCAGATCCGGGCACGCGGGGGAGCGGCCGGCGCTCTGGACGTGCAGGTGAAGTTCCAGCAGGTTTGGGGTGCGCGCCGCGAACCCGAGGGCGCCCGGAGGTGGAGACGCGGCCGTGGCGAGAGCGGCGCCCTCGCCGCCGGGACCGCTCCCTCCCCCGGATCGCCGGCGCGGCCGCCCCCTGCCAGCCGCGGAGCCGGCGCCGGGACCCGCTCGGCAAACGTGGGGTGCAGGCGTCCCCTAGCGGCGGAAGGGGCGCAGGGCGAGCCCGGGCGCTGTGCTTGGCGCGCGGCTTCCGAGGGCTCGCCTGTGGGGGGCTCTGCAGGATTTCTTGGGTCTCGGAGGCCTGAGCCGGAGAGGGCGCAGCCTGGCCGAGGCTTCCCGAGGTCTCGCCGCTCCGACTCCCGGTCCCCGCGGCGCCCGGCCCGACAGGGGTCCCCGAAGAACCAGCGCGCGCCCGGCGGTCCGCCCTGCGCTCGGCAGCTGCAGCCCAGGCCGGCGGCGAGGGCGCGCGGCTCCCAGCCTGAGCCCGACCCTGGCACCGTCGCCCGCGCTGCCCCCTTGGCCCGGAGCCCTGAACCCCGCCCCTCACCCCTACAACGAAATCCTGTATATTTGCCTTTAAAAAATGCCTCTCAGAATAAGCGCTTTGTTTTCTCCCTCGTGGGGCGACCCGACAGATGCCCTCCCCCCTTTGCCTTTTGCTTTGCAGGCGCCCCTCGGTGGGCTGAGGGTTTTGCGAGGCCGCGATTGCATAAATAGCACCGACCGAGGGGGGCTGGGGACGCCTTTGAAGCGCAGAATATGGAGAGATCCTGGTCCCTCCACCCCTCGCCCCCCAGCACCGGAGCGGGGAGAGAGAGGCGCGATCCCTGCCGCCGGGACCTCCCCGCAGCCCCGGGCCCTTCCAGCAGCGCCAACCATCTTGGCCACAGCAAGCTGCTCCTGGGCAGCGGGGAAGCGGCTGTCAGCGGAGGGCGGGTTTTCAAAATTAATTTTCGAGAAGGTCCTGGCTGGCCCCGGAGCTGCGCCCGGGCGGGGCAGGTTGGCCTCGAGCAGCGGGCGTGGGCGAGGGTGGAGGCCGAGGCTCTCCCACTTGCATTTACACCTGTGGTCCCTAACTTTGAAACTGGGGTCTGGGTTCCTTGCATCCCCCCCTGGTCTGCAAAAGACAGAGGGAAACAAGTTTGTTAACTAGCGCTGGGACAGTCGAGTGTTTGCAGTGATTTAACTTGACTTGAAAGCAATTTGTTTCTCAATCCTCTTCTTATTGCAGTGTGCCCAGAGCTCTGAGAAGAGGAGACCTTTTTTAAAAAAGGAAATGGCAGAAAAAAATTAAAATTGTCGATAAGGAGTCTTTCCAAAGGCCAGGCTTGAACGAGCGGTGCTTGGCACGTTCCCAGGGAGCGGGGCGAGCTAAAGGCCTGCTGGGCGCCGGTGCCCCTGGGTGATGCCCCTGGGTGGCCACGAAATAGGCTCTTCTGGAGCTGGGCGACCTAGCTGAGAGGTGGGAAGGCGAGGCCTGGCAGCCAAGGCCATGGCCAGTGGGTTAGTTTTCGTGCATCCACAGTAAGGAATGTTGACTGGAGTTTCTGCCAGAGATTTATAGCAGGTGGTACCTCTGTTCGCAGTAACCCTTTCGACGCTGGGTGCCAGCCTGGAAGCCAGGCAGACAGCACCCCTGTCTGGTGGCTGAGGATGCTAAACGTTCCATTAAGCACCATTCTCCTGATGCTGAAGGAGAAATGTCCTCTTCCATTTTGTTTAACCTGCTCGATCTGGGTGGTTTACCGTTTCAGTGTCTTTTTAGTTATCTAACAGGGCCAGCATTTTGTTAAACTCTAAACAGTGAATTAAAAGCACCGAGGAGCTGGAGCAGCCCTCTAATGCAAAATGACAAATTGCACTTAAGCAATACATGAACAAGAAAATGATTTATGGATTTCTACAATGGTCTGAGCAAATGAAAGCAACATGAATTATACATCCTAATGCTCACGATATCATTTTCTAATAATACTGTTTCAGTCCAGATGCTTTACTCTCATCCCGTCCCTAAGACATATTGATCCATAAGAGGCCCAGGAATATTTTTAAATCAGGCATCAGTGCTAGACACTGGTTCCAGATAGGTATATATTTTTTTGAGTATGAGGTGGGGGAGCGTGAGGAACATTGAACTTGCAACCTGGTCAGCCCCCACACCTGATGTTCTGCAGTGACACACTTGTGGTCCTTCGGAAACTTTATTTTATTGCATACTTTCTTTCGGGATGCAAATAAATAGATCCATTCTGCAATGACCAACTTAATTACATCATGACCTCTGTGTTTGAAAATCAGAATGCATTACCTCATCTTCCCCTTTTCTCCCATCGCTTTGAATACGCAGTGAAAAACCTATTTTCTCCAAAATGTCTCATCCTCTTCGTGTCTGTTTATCCTATTTTTTTTTTAGAACATCGTTTAGTTGCTTAGTGTGTTAAAGACACACCTGAGTTAGTAAAGAGGTCAGGTGTCTTTGTTGTTTTGGCCTTAGTAGACAAAACAGATATTAAGATGGTCTTAAATTACAAATATAAAACAAGTCAAATTAAAATTTTAGATGGTGCTGGATTTTTTGGTTCGGATGTTTTTAAATCCTGGTACCTTCATGTGATGATGAGGGCTCACAGCATTTTACTTAACCATTTGTGGCTTGTA